CATTTCCCATTTTGTATGTGAGCAACTGATTGTTCCTTCCTAAATGGAGTACTTTGCATTTGTCCTTATTGAATTTCATCCTATTTACTTTAGACCATTTTTCCAGTTTGTCCAGATCATTTTTGAATTTTAATCCTGTCCTCCAAAGCGCATGCAACCCCTCCCAGCTTGGTATCATCCACAAACATTATAAGTGTACTTTCTATGCCATTATCTAAATCATTGATGATGATATTGAACAGAACCGGACCCAGAACTGATCCCTGCGGGACCCCACTCATTATGCCCTTCCAGCATGACTGTGAACCACTGATAACTACTCTCTGGGAATGGTTTTCCAACCAGTTTTGCACCCACCTTATAATAGGCCTATCTAGGTTGCATTCCCGTAGTTTGTTTATGAGAAGGTCATGCAAGACCGTATCAAAAGCTTTACTAAAGTCAAGCTATACTACTGCTTCCCCCCATTAACAAGGCTTGTTACCCTGTCAAAGAAAGCTATCAGGTTGATTTGACACAATTTGTTTTTGACAAATCCATGCTGATTGTTACTTATCACCTTATTATCTTCTAGATGTTTGTAAATTGATTGCTTAATTATCTTTCCGGGTACAGAAGTTAAGCTGACTGGTCTGTAATTTCCTGGGTTGTCCTTATTTCCCTTTTTATAGATGGGCACTATATTTATTTACATGGATGAACTTGCCACTGAAATAAGTTGCAGAAACAAATTAGGTTATGTATATTGTTATGCAATTTATAAAGTAGGTGTTGGTCTTTGGCAGATTTGGGAATTTACTAGGAACCTTAGGGTATCTCTAAACTGCATATGGGAGTGAATTTCCCAGCCCAGGTCCACAGACTCATGGTAGTAGGGGTGGTGCTAGAATACTTAAAATAGATGTGTAGACATTGCTTTGATGTTGTAGCTCATGCTGGAACTGGGCGGGGAGGCTCACTCCCAGATGCAATATAGACATTCTTAGTGACAGAGTATGAGAACATATGCTTTTCTGGTTTTGTTTTTCAGGTGCATTTTTGTGTTTAGATAAAAGCCTTCAAATATTCTTCAAATCAATATCAATATCAAATCACATATATTCTTCAAATCAATACTACATATGTGCTTGTGCTTTGTCTGGAAAAAAATGTTCTGAAATAACAAAGTACTTGAAGTGTCAAAGGAGTATATTGAGTGTTTGTGGTACTTTTCCCTTTAACAGAAGGATATACTGTGTTTTTTCCTTGAATAGATGTGTGTTCGAATATGGGAAGGAGAGGTGAATAAGAAGGGGGAGGATCTAAAGATACTAATAATACCCAGCTGAAAACTGGTAGGATGAAGTTAAGACTGAGGGTACATATCAGTAATTTAGGGTAAAATACATTACAGGGATATTGTAATTATAAAAAAAAATAGAATCCCAGGAAATTCAAAGTTAAGATTAAACTTAAAAGAAATCTAAAGATGTTAAAGTATGAAAATGCAATTTGGGTTCCCAAACAAGCTTAACTTTGCCCCATCGCAATAGAATAATCGTACAATTATGCTTAAAGTATTTGTGTTGCTGATTAAACTTATTTTTAAAAGACACATTGAATTTTTTCTGCCTCCCCCCCCCCCCCCCCCCTTGGTCCTGTGGCAGCCAAGTTTCCCTCCTCCCCCGCTTCTTCCCACAGCTTGGTGCATTCCGGCCCCTCTGCCCCTCCTCCTCCCTCTCCCTGCCCGCGATGGCCCTTGTGAGGGGGAGGGGGAAGAGCAGCAGCCTGCACACAGCTCCATAGAGCAGGCAGAGAGAGGTAGGGACGGGCCTGGGGGAAGGGGGTGGAACAGGGCATATCCCTCCCAGCCCCCTGCCATGAGCCGCTCAGGGCAGGGGGCTGGGAGCACCCCCATGAGCCGAGCACCCCAGCCTTCTGCCCTGCACCCCCCACACACCCTCCAGCCCTCTGCCCTGACCTCCCCCCAACACCCAGCCTCCTGCCCTACCCCCCCAGCCCTCTGCCCTGCCCTCCCCCCAACACCCAGCCTTCTGCCCTGCACCCCCACACACCCCCAGCCCTCTGCCCTGACCTCGAGTTGCCCCACTCAGCCCACTGCAGGCCTAGGTGAACAGAACCCCAGGCTGGAAGCGGGCTGAGCAGGCTGGCAGCGTGAGATCAGCATTTTAATTTAATTTTAAATGAAGCTTCTTAAACATTTTGAAAACCTTGTTTACTTTACATACAACAATAGTTTAGTTATATAATATAGACTTATAGAGAGAGACCTTCTAAAAAACGTTAACATGTATTACCGGCATGCGAAACCTTAAATTAAAGAGAATAAATGAAGACTTGGCACACCACTTCTGAAAGGTTGCCTACCCCTGAAGTAGAGCAATACAATAAAATGCTTAATTTTTTTTTAATATTTTGCTGGTGTTTATAATAGTGATGCTATTTGTTACACTCTTGTTGCCAAAATTGCTTTCTCTTTAAGTAATGTATTGGAAATGTTTATTCAGAAGTGATAAGTAACTATCAAATTGAAATAGATTTTTCTAAACGTTTTATGCTTTTCATCCAGACCTGTTAAATTATGAAGGCTTTTGCATTTTGAGACACTGCTCAACAATGGAGGAAACAGACAGGGAAGCAGTTGCAACAGCTGTACAAAGAGTAGCTGGAATGCTTCAGCGACCTGACCAGTTGGATAAAGTGGAGCAGTACCGCAGGAGGGAAGCTCGTAAGAAAGCCTCAGTGGAAGCTCGACTAAAGGTATGAAACTAATAGAGCTGAGCATCAACAAAGTGCATAACAAAGCAGAAATCTTTTACTTTCTGTTCAGATTGTTTTAAGTCTTGGAGTTTAGTCTTTGCTCGGTACAATCACTATGCCAAAAAACAATTGTACAAATACGTGCTAAATTTTGCATGACTGAAAGCTGTATATTGATTGTAACTTCATAATTCACTGTGCTTCTAGATAATCACTCAAATACCCTGGATGCCCTCAGACCCTACAACTGCTACAGTTCAGCACTAGGCACCCCCTATTCCTTATGCATTTTAATATCTAAGCAAATTATAATCCATTATAATCATTGGCAATTAATGTTTCAATAAAACTTGAAGATTGCTTCTTAAAAAAGATCCATTCTAAAAATGTAGCCACTGATTTTACTTCGATTTATAGAGGATACCTGCAGATTCTAAAGAGTGTAGTATGTATGATTCAGGAAGGGAAAGGCACCTGTGTCTTCTTTGAAGGCTGGGGAAATCCTTTTCCTGTTTGCCTTTATTTAAATGTTTAGACGTGTGAATTTGTTGAATTCTTATTAAATTTAAATTATTTTAAGCAACAATAATTTGCAATATGCATCTGAATATCTCCTATTGCCAACAGGCCCTTAAATGCGGAGTATTATTCTCCCTGTATCTGCAGAAGTCTTGGGTAGAAGATTTTTTCAAGGAAGTGAGAGTGGAACTTCATAACTTTGTTCCCCTTTCCTGAAGATCCAGTACCCTAATGATCAAAGGAGGGGAACTAACAAGAATTTCTTATCTCAGTTTCAATAATCCAGCTAAGGGAGGGTTCACAGTTATGAAAATGGAAATGAAAGTTAAGTGGCAATTCTACTGATAGATGAGGTAGTAAAAGGCCTGGTATCTATCGGTAGCTGTATTGGGTCTGCAGTGATGATAGAAAAATATGGTATTATAATTAAGAACCGCATAGCTGACTTAGAAGAGACAGAGGGAGCAGATATTTAAGAATAAGAATAACACTTGCAGTTCATTTGTTCTGAGGATCTCAAAATGCCTTAAAAACATCTAATTAATTTATCCTCACAACACCTGTTTGAGGATACAAAATAATTTATTATTTAAAGGTACCATACAGGGCTCCCACTTGGTTCTAGAGCTTCCATCATGAGATTGCCAATAACTTCTATAACTCTGAAGGCTTTCTGTTGTGTTCAGGGTGCTGGTTTGCATGCCTCATGTTCAACTAAACCACTAATATCTCAGTTCCTCCAGAATACTTCAGGTCAGTTTTTATCTGACTGAGGTAAGCAACAGAGCTTCCACTGACCTGCAGTGGCTCTTGACATATCTTTTGAAGTCTCTTCCAGTTTCCAGACCCATTGTTTTCTTTTCTGATTACCCTGTTCCATCTTGGTCATTCTTCATTTTTAAAAATTACTTTATTTCGTAGTCTGACTTCCATCAACCCACTGTATGTACTGGACATCCTTCAATGCATCCCAGCTGATCTTAAATGCTGTCCCACGCTGGGGGCCTAATTGAAGAGTTTTTGCTTGATAGGTGGAACTGACTGTTCTGTCCTCAGGACACCCAGAACTGTGAGCCACTGTTACTACCCCCCTGCCTTTACAAAAGTGAGAGCTTTGCTGCTGCGAAGCTGTGTTGGCTTCCTTTCACACCAGCCTGTCTGCCATGCCAGCAAACTCTTCAAGACTCTGCCAGTCTAAACCTTGCCTTGCAGGTCAGAGAACCCCAATTCCCAAGTTCTCTGGAAATTGTCCCCCCCGCAGTGTCCAGTCCCTCTCACTGAACACTGATAGAAATTATTAGGTTTGCTGCCTCAAAAGAGGCAGAGCACACATCAGCCTGTTAGGTTAGCAGAAAACTCACACTTCAGTTTAATACTCAGTACTGAGAGGATTTTGTAATAAAACAAGAATAAGTTTCTTAATAAAGAACAGAGACTTAAGTGATTCTAAGCAAGAAAAATAGAGACGGGTTTGGTTACAAACAAAACAAAATAAAACACGCTTTGTAGTGACTAAACTTAATCTTTGCCTAAGCTATTTTCTTACTCTCATTGTTATCAGCATTTTCAGCCCCCAGGCCAGGGTACCTAACATTCACAGAATCAAAAGGTGCTGTTCCCTGTATTCAGTAAGTGATGGATAACTAAAATATTATCCCCTTCTATTACCCAAAATCCATTGTCTCTGCCTTAAGAGCCAGGAAGACATCCTGGAGTGCAGACTCTGTCCCCCAAGTGTGTTCTGCAAGCTACCATTTGTTAGCTTGATTGTTTTGTTTACTTTACATGTAAATGTACTGTCATTGTCCTCTGGTTTACAAAGCTTGATCCAGATAGGTACATCCATATTCCTTTGTCAAAGGCAGGCTGGTTTATCAGCTCTCTCCCCAACATATTTTAGGAACCTATTTCCAGCACACATACCTAACTCATTATACACCACCCATATATACTTCATGCAGTGATGTTCATAACCAGTGTGTCACTAGTTTTCCTAACAGACCTTATTCGATGCACTTTTATAGTACAATAATACTGTATACCAGTGGTCTCCAAACTTTTTTGATCGCGCACCCCTATCAGTAAAAAAATTTTGAGCACGCACCCCCTCCCGCGCCAGCTCTACCATTTTTGCCGAAGCAAAAAAAAAATAAAAAAGCCGCTCGGACTCCCGCCCGAACTGACGAAGCGCGCCCAAAAAAAAAAAAAAAAAGCGCTCCTCCTGCCGCGCATCCCCAAGGATCTTCTTGCGCACCCCCTGGGGTGTGCGCATCCCACTTTGGAGACCACTGCTGTATACAATCCATTGATTCAATTGCTTATTTTGGGGGGTTCAGATCCTGTGTTTTCCCCCTGGGGTATCTGGACCCTGGTTGTCACACTGACTCATCATGTGCTGACTTGTAATGGTTCCTGGCTGTGTGGAAAATTCATCTGATGTAAAGTAACTTCTCTCTTGGCCCTCTGTTGGGTTGTGTCTCCCAAGGAGTCCAGCTACTGTCACTTTGCAATGGAGAAATTTGATTTAGTCACTGTGCTTGGTGATGGCTTTGGATTTAGACCCAGTTCTTATAGTGGAGATACGTCAGCTCTACTGTTTCCTCACAGTCCTGAGGATGTTGAATGTTAAGTAGCATTGTATTAGGGCTTCTCTCCTGGTTCATGAAGAGTGCTGGGTCCCTGGTTGCTTCACCGCTTTGTTTTCCCAACAAATAAATACCACATCTCTTCTCCATTTTCATCCATTGATAGGGAGAAAAAGAATTATAACAGCTTTATAGAATACTTCAGTTATAGCTACATTCTTAATAGGCATGGTATAAATAGGTGTCTGGATCATTATGCTTCTCATAGGTTTGCCGTTGCAACACTTTTAGTCTGAACTTGTGAAGAAAGTTTAGAAAACACCTCACTCTGCCACCCCATTATCCCAGTTAACAGGAAGTACATACATTTTACCTGAGGATGCAGTTGAATAAATAGTTTCCAAGCATCCCTATGGCAGCTCGATGATTGAAACTGTTATGGCTTGGTCTAAATAAAGATTTTGCTTAGGATTAATTGATATGGAGTAGTGATGGTATTCATATGACTGACTGTCTTAAAATCTTTCATAAATGCATTTTTGATTTTTTTCTCTCACCTTTGATAAAAACTATCCTATAGATTCTGGGAGGGGGAAATGATAATTTGTACTTTTTCAGGGGTTTTTATGTAGGTATATTCTTGTGTGGTGTGGTGTGGTGTGGTGTGTGTGTGTGTGTGTGTGTGTGTGTGTGTGTGTAAAAGACACATCTGTCTTAGACTCTCCAAGAGATCTCAGAGTCATCATGGATAGTTCTCTGAAAACATCTGTTTAACATATAGTGGCAGTCAAAAAAGCTAACAGAATGTTAGGAACCATTAGAGGAGGGACCAGCACCGGTCACTGTTGGAAAACAGGATACTGGGCTAGATGGACCATTGGTCTGACCCAGTATGACCGTTCTTATGTATAACAATAAGATACTGGTGGAATAGTTGAAAACATAAAAAAACCCTTAGTTTTACAATGTTAATATATAGTAAATTAATTTAATAACTCTCTTTTTAATAGGCAGCAATCCAGTCACAGTTGGATGGGGTACGAACTGGTTTAAGCCAACTGCATAATGCATTGAATGATGTAAAGGACATACAGCGATCTTTGATAGATGTCAATAAAGACTGGCGACAGAGTATCAACACCATAGAAAACCTCAAGGATGTTAAGGATGCTGTAGTCCAACATAGTCAGCTGGCAGCTGCTGTAGAAAACCTCAAAAATATCTTCTCGGGTAATTCAACACAAATCTTTGATGTATGATTTGATATCACAAATTGAAAGAAAGTATATTCAAATGGCATTAAAGACTATTTTACTGTAAAGGGAAGATGTTGAACTTAGCTTCCCTTTCTTAATTAATCATTACACTTAACCAGGCCGAATTTGCCTTTGGTTATATACTTGCAGCCTCAATAACTTCAGTGGGGTTGCATCGTTTGTTAGGGGAAGTTTACTGGAGGGAGTTTACTTCGCATGAGGTGCAAGAAGATCCCAACTACTGATATTGTAGGGAATAGTGAGTACACTGCACTATTCATACAGCTTTATGGGTATTTTAAACAAAAATAAATGATGCCTTCTGTTGGCTATATGATTCTATAAATCTGCAATATTGTAGTCTATAATCAAAATAAAAATTATGATTAAAGATGTAGCACAGTCATTAAAAACATCAAGAATTGCAGCAAATCATTTTTAACATATCTGTGAGCCATTACTTAGGGCAGGCGTTCGCAAACTGGGGGCTGGGACCCATCAGGGCTCGCAAGGTTATTACATGGGGGGGAGGGGTCGCGAGCTGTCAGCCTCCACCTCAAATCCTGCTTTGCCTCCAGCATTTATAATGGTGTTAAATATATAAAAACATATTTTTAATTGATACCCTTATTGCACTCAGAGGCTTGCTATGTGAAAGGGGTCACCAGAACAAAAGTTTGAGAACCACTGACTTAGGGGGAACCAGACTAGCAAATAGAACTCATAAATTTTCTACTCTTGTTTTACAGTCTCTCTTGATACATTTATGGTTTTGTAACATTTCTTTTTGTATCCTAATAGTGTCATATTACTAGTTTTTCCTTTTTGTCTTTATTTTTCAGTGCCAGAGATCGTTAGGGAGACTCAGGATTTGACTGAGCAAGGGGAACTTCTGCAAGCCCATCGAAAGCTGATGGACTTAGAGTGTTCTCGTGATGATCTGATGTATGAGCAGTATCGTATGGATAGCAAGAACACCCATGACATGAATCTCATCCATGTGTACTTTGGGGATATGCAAAAACTCTCTGAGGAGCTTGCCAAACAACTCTGGATGGTGGTTCAAAGATCTCTAGTTACTGTTCGTCGAGACCCAACCTTGCTTGTCTCTGTTGTCAGGATAATTGAGAGGGAAGAGAAAATAGACAGGCGCATGCTAGACCGGAAAAAACAAACTGGGTTCATTCCTCCTGGCAGGCCAAAGAAGTGGAAAGAAAAAATGTTCAATATTTTGGACAGAACTGTAACTACCAGGATTGAAGGCACTCAAGCAGATACTAGAGAATCTGACAAAATGTGGCTTGTGCGCCATCTGGAAATCATACGCAAATATGTCCTTGATGATCTGCTGGTGGCCAAAAATCTAATGGTTCAATGTTTTCCCCCACATTATGACATTTTCAAAAAATTATTGAGCATGTACCACCAGGCTTTGTCCACACGCATGCAGGATCTCGCTTCAGAAGATCTGGAAGCAAATGAGATTGTAAGCCTTTTAACTTGGGTTTTAAATACATATAAAAGGTAAAGGCAACTTATTTATTTTAAACTGTTTTATTAGGGATAGTTTCAAATAAATATATATGTAAAATATTTTTAATTGGATTGTATATACCGATAAGGGTGCAGATATGTGGTGAAATATTATTATATGCGGATAGACCCATACGTACTTTTTGTAGAGCTTGTATCATGTTTTGTGCAGAATTGTTATACCTAGCTAGGCATCTAGATTTTGGGGATGCGTGTTTTTGTGTGTGTATACATATTTAAGACATAGAGAAAGGGACATCTTTCTAAACAGAAAGCAGTGTAATCTTAATTCAAGGTTACTGTTGCATTTCTTTGTTGTACATTAGAAGTAGCTCTCTGGCTAAACCCTAATGCTTCTTAAAATGGCTTTGGTTGTGATCTGTTTGCTATCTCATTTCTTGTAAGTTTAGCATTTTGATGCATTTGCTTGCACCTGTTAATCTGAAAAAATCTTTGCAGATTTAGTTGAGTATTTTCCAGAGTTCAGTGGACTGTGTTCACATCCAAGCTTACTTTTAATTTTCTGTAAACTTCTACATGTATTTGTGACCAAAATTTTGGGCATGGTGACAGTTCCAGGAAATGTTTTAGGTTACCTACTTTCTACATCCACATTCAGCAAGGGTTCTGGCAGTTCAAGTTTCAGTTGGTGATTACTGCAGTGTAGAAAAGAATATGATAACTTTCCACTGAAACTTTTTCCATGATGGGGAGAATGTGGTGGCTCGAATTTCTGCCCAGGAGTTGTCTCCTATGGTACTGTGAAATTCTTTTTCTGGTTTTCTTTTATGTGGTGTGATTAATGTTAGGACAGCATCAAACACTTATTTGTGATTTTTTTTTTTTAAAGTCTTATTCATACAAAGTAATTGGGAACAATAGCTTGAAAGGCAAAACTGTCTTGCTAATGTAGGATTGGGGTTATTGATTCCTTGCTCATTTAGTTTATAAAAAAAAGCCTTCAGGCAGTTGTTAGGTTTATACATGTTTTGTGGTTCCTGCCTCATGGCGTGTAAATACCATTCTTGTTTACTTAACTCTTCTCAATGGCTGGCATTGACTTGAATTGTACACACTTTTCTTTATAGCTGGTTGCTTGGTTTTGCTATAATTTTCTTTGATTAGCTGAGTCTGGTATAAACCTGTTAGGTACTGAGTAATATTTGACAATGAATAGGCATAAAACATAATCACACTGCAGAATTTTTTGTGACCAGCTCCAGGATGCATCTTGAGTCTGGAAATCAGTACTTTCAGTCTGCCTTATAAACAAACAAACAAAAACAATAAGCAACAAAAAACAAAGGAAATAAACCAACAAGGATGAGCAGGAGATATTCATACTCTTCCTAACTAGAAAAAGTTTCTAAATTAATGCCCTGCTTCCTGTCTACTCTAGTGGTTTATTTGAATGTAAAGAAATGCTAAAGAGGGCGCCCATGCATGCTCTAGGCAACTTGGTCATAACTTAAAAATAAATGCAACCGATTTCAACATTAGCTGCCAGTGATTATGGTTAGAAATGGGAAATTTTTCTCCACTGAAGATGCATTTACAGATCTCAGAAAGGTCATGTATGGTGCTCATGAAATTTGGAAAAAAGGAATTCTAAAATAGTCAAGTTTTATTTTGCTTTCCCAAAACTTGGCTCAGAAGCTGTCTTTGAGTTGAATCTATGTCTAATAGCTGAGTAGAGGAGAAATTAAGTGAGGTTTGGAGTGAATTAAAAGGCTTAAATCGCTTCCTCTCAAATAAATATTTAATTCTGATAGATTGGCTGTCTTTTACAACTGTCTTTTAAGGAGTTGAGATCCTTGGAGTCCTGGTGCTATTTCTTTATACAGCTAAACACACTGCTATATAGAAAGTGCCCTAGAGATACTTTACATGACTGCATTAGAGTCATGGCCTAAATCCAAATTTGTGGTTTAGCACATACTTACTAATAAGCTGTTGACGTTAAAAATGAAGAGAAGGGAGTCAGCAGTGAGATCTAGGGGCAATACCAGGCTCAGAAGCCCAGCTACCTTCAGACACAACTGTTGGTAAAATCAGATTCCGAACTGGGTGATATCCATCGCCCCTATATCTTTGCCCATGTTACAGTAGAGGTACCTGTTGATGGCATAAATGGATGGTATTGACTCTCGCCCACCTAAGAGTCTTGTGACTGGTGAGGGTGGGGAAGTATTAACATGCACCCTGCTTCTAATCTCCTGCGTGCTGCAAGGGGAAAGAGAGGAGTCTTGTGAAGAGGAAGAATGATCTTTTGGTTAAGGACTAGGACATAGAAGGTGTGGGCTCTATTATTAGCTCTGCCATAGGTTTGCTTTGTTTGACCTTGGATGAGTCACTTAATTTCTCTGTTCCTCATCTGTAAAATAAAGATGATGTGGGTTCCCTGAGGCTAGAAGTATTCAGGAACTACTGTGATAGTGCCACAGAATAACCTAAATAAACAAACACCCCTCTACCAGTCTGTTTTTGGGTCATCTTCTCCCATGAATAACACCCAGTGAACTGCAGCAAACAGAATTGAATTCAGGATTCCAAATTGCAGCTGTGAAACTGACAAGTCTTGTGAGTTTTACTCCACTGCTGGGAGTACTTGGGAAACTGTCACTGTGCCTCAGTGGGTCACAGCTGAGAATACCAGATTCAGGACAAACTGCTGAGAAATGGGGCAGTCCCACCCCAGAACTGGTAGTTATTCTTCCATAAGATATACCAGGCCGGTAACAAAAGTAAACGTCTGTCTTGCCACGCAGGTTAACAAGAAGTCAGAAATGCAGTCTTCGTAGGTATCTCAGCCCTTGTTTCACCATGCATCCACTAGACTTTATGGTGAGTGGTTATTTAAAACCAATTTCATCCAAAAAAGGGTTTTTCTAATCCCAAGAAATAGCCACATAGGCAGGTCAATAAATAACTCAGATCTTACCCAATAATCATGCTGTTGCCAATCCTTTAAGTATCTAATATCTATAGGTTTATTTATAAGAGAAAAGAAAGAGGAGAGAGTTCAAATGGTCGAGGAAAACAAATACAGTAACTTTGCAATGAGTAAAAAGAACAGGAGTACTTGTGGCACCTTAGAGACTAACAAATTTTATTTCAGCATAAGCTTTCGTGGGCTACAGCTCACTTCTTCAGATGCT